GCCGCCCCCAGCCACTGCAGCCTGCTGGACTCCGGTGATCCTTCCGCCTCAGCCTTCCAAGTAGCCGGAATTACAGGCATGTGCAACCACGCCCGGTTGATTTTTTGATTTATTGTAGAGATGAGGTCTCGCTGCCCAGGCAGGTCTCGAACCCGCGGGCTCAGGGCAATCCACTCACCTCAGCCTCCCAAAGGCGCGGGATTACAGGCTGAGCCACCGAGCCCGGCGGCTTCTGCTTTCTTAACGTGTTGCCTCACTGGGACCCTTGCTGACCACCTGGCTGAATGCTTCCACCCCACCTCGCCCCCTCAGCCCCCACTCTGCTTAACCTCGCCCTACAGTGCTTGCCACACCATGACACCATGTGCTATGTGTGTTCTGTGTATTTTCTCTCTTGTCTGGTCAGCTCCCCCAGCAGAATGGGAGCCCCCTGCCTCCCCAGGCCAAGGCTGCTGTCTGTCTGGCTCAGGGCTGGACCCTAGTACCTAGGAGAAAGTCTGTGAATGAGAAAGATGCTCAGCAGACATTGAAGGAACGTTGCCCTCTGATGCTGGCTGCCATTCACCACCAGGTGCCCCTTAGTTGCTGACGGGTATTCCCTTCCCTCCCCATCTTGTCCCCAGAGGCGTCAGTGGCTGCAGGAGGCCATGTCAGCTGCTTTCCGGGGCCAGCGGGAGGAGGTGGAGCAGATGAAGAGCTGTCTCAGGGTTCTGGCCCAGCCCACGGCGCCCGCAGGAGGTGAGGCGGAGCAGGCGGCGGACCAGCAAGAGCGCGAGGGGGCCCTGGAGCTGCTGGCCGACCTGTGTGAGAACATGGACAATGCCGCAGGTACCCCGCCCGCCAGGCGTCTTGTCCCTCAGCCCTCGTCCCTGTGCTTGGGGACCACGTCAGCAGCCTTCTTCCCGGCCTCACAGGCTCCATCCTCTCCCCTTCATCACCTCAAGGAGCAAGACCCTTCCTTACGCCCTGCAGCCAGCCCGGTGGCAGGCTCGGCTCCCACTTCCCTGATGTGCCCCGAGACTGACCACCTCTCTCCTAGGACTTCCTCTGCGGCTCCGTAGGGTACGGGGCGGGG